AGCATCCAGCTCATTGATACGGGTCTTGTCGGGCGGTATGGCCTGTTTGGACAGGTAGACCGGTTCGACCGCCCATTTAACAGACGGCATTATACGTCGCGGTAATTATGGTGTGATTTTTGGTAATCAAAAGTGTTTTTTAGTTTATAATCCTTTGCTGTCAGAGAGAGAAAAGTGCACAAAAAAAGTTCACTTAATATTCTGGACCACAAAATGAAAAAATGCTTTTTTAATAACAAGTTTTGGATTTTTGTTATGATTTTTGTTTGGATTATGCAATTTTTTCGTATTTCATAAACTACTCCAATAAATATATCCCAAAATGTTTCACTCAATCTTTACGTTGGAAATGATTTTTAGTTTTGCAAACAAACAACTTATTTAGCATTCAGTGATACAGAATTATATTAAGATCTAATCAAAACATTTTTATCGCAAAGTTTTTGGATATTAAAAATATTAATAGCGATGTATTTATCACATCATCTGCCAGTCTGACAGTTATAACAAACTTTGTTTTGTTAGATCCCTTTCCCCTTCAAAAACCTATCGGTAAGTAAAGAGTTTTTATTACTCGGAGGGTTTTCCAGTACTAATAATAACTATAAATTACTCGTATATCCAGTACTCTATCGCAACACACAAAAAGGTTTTTCAAAATTTATATATTTTTTGCTTTCATTATATAATAACTACTCCAACAGTAAACGATGCGAGAATTGCGAGGGGAACGGCTGTTTATAAGCCATCTGCGGCTACCAGCACCGGGAGTATATGCTAGGTGGTGATGGTTGTGCGAGAGCACCGGGCAATAAAACTCATCGGATTGGGCATACATTAAAAAAGCACTGGTAGTTTGTCGCGAAACTTACTGGTATACTAGGCGTACAATCCGTTTGGTATTAGTTTTCAATGAGTTTTATTCACACAAAACACATGAATCGCACAAAACTTATTCAACAAACTGTAGGCAAAAGGCACTGAATATAATATAAACGAGATAAATATCAGGCTTATAACTAGCCCGGGTAGGTTTAGCGCACCGTCATGTATAGTAACGACTGTATCCGATCGTCGCACGACAGCTACTAAAGCGTATGTGCGCTCCGGTATGTGTTTTGGGGGGCAGTCGTGTTGGGGAGAATAGGAGAGGCGATACGGGTTTTTGAATACAACTTTTTATTCCTACCAGTCCTTCAGCGCATACAGAGAGCTACCAGAGCTGATCGCACCAGTAGTTCAGCTGTTGCGCCATATAGTGGACGATAATCTGTTTACGTGGGCAACAGATCCCAGTCCTCAATCACTTTCTGGTGATCATATATATCATGAATATTTCGCTTAAGAAATGTGTATTTTTAGCGCATATTCTTGTATCCAATGATAAATGCATTGATTGTTAAATGTTTTGTAACTGTTTTTATACTTATAATACAAATCCATTATTCATTCATTACGTTATAATTGACGATTTGACTCAACAGTTTTAGTTTGAAAAGTACCTATTTTTACCAACTCATCCCTACCAACCCTCCCAGTCCTCCCTAAATAGTGATTTCTGTCACCCATTCCTTACTCCATGTGCTGGTGATATGATATCTACAGTTTCCCTGTGATTCCGTTTAGAGTTCAAATAACTATTCATATTGAGTAGTATTTGAGAATTAGTAATAAGTTTTAGTGTTGAGTAAAGCCAAGTGTAGGGTCCGGCTATTTATATACCAGTCCTCTTCCAGTCTCTCTATATCTCCCGTTCCCGTCTAATGCCATATTCGCATAGACTTCCCAAAACAATTCATTCAATTTGTATGTAATGTCTAATATAAGTAACTAGCACTTTATACTATCGGCTCATTTATGGTTAATGTTTCAGTACTTAAATATTCTGTATATATCGATATTCTCTCTCTCTCTCTCTCTCTCTCCATCTAAACCTCAGACATCAATATAACAAATATCTTAATCTCTTTTACCACTCGATATACATTTTCGTCAATCAATGAGTGTAGACAAAAAATTATGCCAAGAATTTCGATGATATTTATTGCTCTCTCTCTCTCTCTCTCTCTCTCTCTCTCAAACAAACAAAATCCTTATCCATCAGTGACTAAAAATCGATTGATTAGTATTTCAAACAAATACACTGTATTTTTGGGGAGAATTTTGTTTGTCGATTGGGTTTTCAACGCGACTTTCACAGCATTAGTGTCCGACTGTACTGTATGTGCGAGTCGTGTGAATGCAAAATACAATACACAATGAATTAGTGACTAATACTATGCAACAAACCCTTTGTTAGTGGACAGGCGGACCATTGGGCACTGGGCTATAAAAATTTCATCCATTTAGTTAACGAATGATAAGAAATATATGGTGTGTTTGCTGACTAAACACCAGTTCCCCTTTTTACCCTACCATAGGCTAGGAAATGCTACTTTAAACACACCATAAATTCTTAGTCGCAAACAATATAATTGAAAAACCGTTTCATATAACAGACAATGAATTGTAACCCAAAGCTTAAGGGAATTGAAATTTTTAATATAATTAATTACATTAAAAATCCATTAGGTTTTTGTTATTTTATAGTTTCTGGTCCCTTATTACTGTACTTTTGGTTTTGGTTTTGCAATATGTTATAAGTGCTGACAATTTGGTTGGATATTTATTTCCCAAAACTGAGATTAGATTTGAATTTTTTCATTAAATATTCATTTAATTTCGTGTTTCATATAAGTAGTTATGTGTTTGAAAAGTCAAATGACAGCACATTTTATTTGTAAATTACATAATGAATACATGCATTGGTTTTAGCATTAGGCACAGGTTTTGCATGTATTATATTACACTACAAAACTGATCGCCAATTATAATATGTCTTATATTCAGTTGAATTGAAATATAATTTGTTTGACTTTGAATGTAGTGTCAAATTATATGTGAAATATAGCATTGATTAGTGTATATTTTGTGCAGATACAATTATATGTAAATTAATTTGATAAGGCTAAAAAATAAATAAATTGTTTGAAAACATATAATTAATTTCAAGGCTTTTGTGTGTCTGTAGTGACTAATCCCTGGTAACCCATTATTTGATGTTTGTTTGCAATCATAAGTCATTTAAAATTACTGTTATTTATGATTATAATTAATTATTAAAAATATGAACAGCTATTTAAAAATTATTTTTATTTACTAAATTGATTTTTAAATTTGTGTTTTACTTGAGTGATTATACTGTATATTAAATATGTTTAAAATAAACTATCAATTTAAAATGATATATTTTATAATATAAAATTTATATCAATATTCAGTATCAGTAAAATAGCGTAAAAACAAAACTTACTTATAATAACTACACTGCTTATATTTAAATATATCTTAATTAGGCATAAATGTGATAAATCTAACAAAATATTAATGGTTTATATTTAGTTTATTTCTTTTTATGTATCGATTAATTTTAATCAATATAATTACAATATAATCAAGGAATTTTCCTGTTTAATATTTGATCTTACCGAAAGTAGAAAATGTTTTTAACAGTAGTTTATAAACCTCTTAAAATTGTACTCATTTTCATGAAAATCTTATCTAAATTATTAAACAGTGAATAAGTATTTGCTTTCACTAGAGAATCATTGCACACTTTATTCACAATTGTATTATCATTCAAATTCATTATTATTTCTACCATACTTTAGTTACTTTTAGTACTACTGTTCTGTAATATTATTACAGCACTGTACTAATACTGTTATAATAATAATAATTAATGTCATGAGTGTGTCTTATCGCATATTATAATTAATTTTCATCTCATTTAAATGTTCAAATAAAATATGTCATTTATGTAAACTATAGAATAATAAAGTGTGTTTGGATGTTGCTATTGACTTATTGTTACAATCAAAATTGTCCCAGTTACTATTGCATATAGTATACTGTACAGTATATTGTTCTACTTGGTGTAATTTAATAGTTATAAATCTCATTAAAATGAGTTTAAGGTCTCATTATGTCATTGCTACTAATCTTTGCACTTATATTAAGGATTATACACTTCAATATATCTAATCATTAAAGGAATTCCTAATTCAAGAATTACTTTGAATTATTATTGATATTGACGATGACCAGGGATAACCTGTTTGTCATTTTAAATGTGGCTAATATATTAATTCTGCAAGTTTAAATAAAAAATTTCTAATTAATATCAATCAGGGGTTGATATGACTGCAACTGTTTACGAACCACTGATTTAATATAAAGTTAAATACTATACACGAAGTGATGAACAACTTTGAGACTTTGGCTGTCAAACAGAAACATAGATTTCTATTTGCATTGATTTCACTCTTTCATAGACTTTGGCCACAAGTTTACACAAATAATAACACAAAAGTTTTTTGTTAAAAACCCTCAAATATTGTTTGATATACTATTCAATGCAATCATCTTTCATACCATCCCTGGCAGTAGATATAAAACAAAGACATTTTACGTATTTCCTAATCATTTTATCACTTGTAGTGAATCCTATCATATCATAAAATTGGCAAAAAACATCTTATGTTATATAAACGTGTTGTTAAACTGAGTATAGTTTTCACTTTTATTTCATTAAAAACATTTCACATGTTAAATAAGCTGCTAATAATTTTATTAATTAGTTAATTAGCAGTGGCATTTGTCAAAATAAGTTTAGTATTCTCAGTATTAGTGCCATAATATTTTATAAATTAGGTGAGAGGGGAGAATGTGCTTGTTACTACGGTACAGTACTTGTATTACATGTATAAACATAATGTATGTGAGGGCTCACTGTAAGTCACTATTCCTATGCAGAATAACTCAGTTATTCATGTATCAGACATTCATGTTATGTGGGAATAACATGTTTGTAAATAATGTAGCGAGATTGTACAACTTTTAAATAATAAATACATTAATATGTGATTTAATACTCTATTGTCCACCCCTTTATATAATGAACAAATTTATACCATAATATATCTACAATTTAGATAATAACCAAACATATATTTTATGAATATGTGGTTAACACATTTTACAATTTATATTTATAGATATTTATCATCTCATAATAATATTATTTATTAATTGTTACAATAACTGCTAAATAATGGTTACAACGGATACCACGGGCGAGACATACAGGCCTTTAGTGAGTATTTTATGTTCAATCACTTTATTATTAATGACATTAATATTAATTAATCTGTTTTCCATTGTCTGTGTTTGTGATAAATTCTTACATATTATACAATGAATTACTTGTTATAATGCAGACAATAAATCACATATATACCTGTACACTATTTGCTATTACATTTATTTTATTTAATATATGCAGTTGACTAATTTTAATTACATTGTAATTAAAATAAGTAAACTATAGATTACTGTAATGAAAAATGTCTAAAACTTTTTGTGAAACTTTATAAAAGTTAAGTTAAAATGAAAAATAAGTAAATAATTTTTATTTCACTAGTCCACAAAATAATTTATAAGTAATCTGGCTTAAATCAGTAATTTATACTTTAACTAATATTTTATAATATAATAGACAGGTCTGGTATACCTGTTCAACCTAATCGTGGGAACGGGAGCCCTGGCAATGCCGGCAGCCTTTGCCAACGCGGGCTGGTTGGCCAGTACGGTAGTGGTGGTCATACTATGTCTGGTCAGTTACATCACCACCACATTTGTCATCGAAACCATGTCCTTAGCCAACGCTCTCCTCAAATATAACAAACAAAAAGGTTTTCAATTATTTCCTAATAAATCGCTTACAAATTGACACAATTTGCACAAAGGGTTAAAGGGAACAGTAATTACATAATTATGCCAATCCTTATCCCTATCCCATATGACACGCATCCCTGTCCCCCAGCACTCGGTTACGGGTTTCATGAAAAGCATGCAATGAATGATATACTGATCTAAACCTTCATGAATTGTATGAATTTGATTGAAAAAGACAACCAAACTCTTGATACCTATTCAATAGCCGGCAAACGGCGAGCGCCTACTGATCGTCACTGTGAAGGCCCGTCCCGTTGCTGTTCATCATCGGCCGAACCGCCGGACAAAACGTGTCGTTCCTCTCGTAGTATCAGTAGTACTGAAAAACTTCCGCTTTTAGAGTGCACTACAGATCAGGAGGACGAGAGTTCCGGTGCCGACGACGGGGTCGTTGAGAAACAGGTCGTCCAAAAGGAGCCCGACGTGGAGGACAGGGAGGTGGAGGACAACAACTTCTTCGCCATCACCGAGAAGGTCGAGTTGGGAGGGATGGCCAACATGTTCCTCAACGGCGTTGGAGTCAAACTGTTTTACGTGACGATTGCCGTCTATTTGTACGGAGATTTGGCCATATATTCAGCCGCCATCAGTAAATCGCTCCGGGATGTCACGTGGTATGTATGCCATTCCCGCATCCCTGTCCACTAAAACTCATTAAATTATTATCATTAATGGTATTCCGGGTTTCAGTTCCTATAAACACCAGAATTGTAACGAAACTCTGTCTGTGGACGATCAGTGCTGGACTGGTATGTCGAGCATAAGCCGTCAGAATGCGTACCGTATATACCTGGCCCTCACACTCCTATGTATCGGTCCCTTCGCTTTCTTCAACGTCCAGAAGACAAAGTACTTACAAATGCTGACAACACTTCTCCGATGGATCGGTAGTTTACACTCAGAAATAGACTATAATTTGTGTTTAAATTAAATTAATTTTGTATTACTTTTGTCGATAGCATTCATATCTATGATAATCATAGCTATGGTCGCGATATCGTCGGGCAAAGCACACGCCCGGCCCTCAACCCTATCGGTCCGGGGTATACCCAACCTGTTTGGTGTCTGTGTCTACTCATTCATGTGTCATCACTCGCTGCCATCGCTGGTCACTCCCATCAGCAATAAGAGCCGCATATTTGTCTTAATACTGACGGACTATAT